AAATAATAGGTAAATATATCAACTTAATGTTTAAAAAAAGAAAAGAGATTCTCAACTTACAAACGAAATGAGCATTATAATTTTTATTTAATTTTATTTTAATTATAAAAGAATCAAGTGAATGTTATTTCTTATTGTACTAGTTAATGTTAAACCTTTATTGTAAACAGACCAATACCTTCCTTTGAAGAGTAAGGCGCAATAAAGATATACTATACTATACTATACTCACTCACTCACTCACTTACCCATTGACCCATTCATAACATACCTGACACGCCGACTAAGAGTTATTTTTTTCACAAAAAAATAACTCAAAAATTCGTACGCGCGCTGTTTTTAAGGAAACCCCCTCAAACTATATATCAACAGAAAGGTTATAAAATGTAAAATTCAATAAAAATATGTTTTGTTTTGGATTTTGCTTTCCAAAGGTGGCAGAGGCCGTCAACTCCAAAATGATCGACTGACGTTCCAGCGAATTAATCGGGTATCAAATGCGATCGTTCATGCAAAATAACTGTGCAGTGTTTATCACAAAGCCTCAATCTCCAAACAGGTGTCAGCATTTTCTTTTATTTCTGTTGGTTATCTTTTTATAGATCTGTCAAGTTTGACTATCGAAAAATTTGTGTAACCTGTTGCGTTAAAGGCTGCCACGAGGAAAGTATTTAAAATAAAGGAATTGCCGACACGCTTTTGTTCCATATCTACCAGTGGATGTTCTGACCAAATTTCATGGAAAACCGTCAAATCTACATACCCTATTAATTCATTTAAAGAGAAGGGATTCTCTCGAAAAACAAGTGCGAGTTTTCGCCTTCTAAAGATTTATAAACATAACACGCCTTCACAGAGGAATGTGTCAACTTGAAAAGCCGCGGGCCAATGAAATAACAGAACCCCTAGCATTCACAGTATGCAAACTTGAGCTTCACGGAAAGGAACGGAGACTTCCGGGTAACACTGGGATGGACACTCGGTTGAGTCACTCTTAGTTGCTTCATGCTACAGAAACTGGAAATAAGCGACGGCCAGATGGGCCACTTGGCTCGTATCCAGACATTATTATCCAACTGTGGCGAATACCGTCCAAATATCAATACAAATATACAGCGATATTGTACAGTTATTTGTACAATGCAAAACTGTCACACCCTCCCTCTTTCACGGACATATTTTTTGACTACAGCAGTTGGATAATAAATCTCTTATTAGATGTTTTGGTGTGTAGTATCGCTTTACATTTTTACTCGTTGTTTGTATTTTGATGAGCCCATAGGGCGAGTCAAAATACGGCACAACTCATAAAAATATACAGCGATACTACACACCAAAACATCTAAAACGATATATTTACGTTACCCTTTTTTCATTTGAATGTTTTTTTATATGTCTTGTCCACGTTGCGTCTGGCTAATATACGATAAGAAATATGAGAACAAATTTGTTTTAGTTGCAGAATAGATAGATAATGCATTAATTCCAATATTTTCCAGCTATTTAACGATTATTCCACAAGCGCATGTTGGATATGAGATAACAGTTTGCCAATGGGGTGCATAGAATTGCCTATAATCATCTCATATCCAACTAGCGTCAGTGCAATAATTGTTAATATTAAAAATTCTCCCAAGATATAGAAAAAAAAATAATGAAATAAAAATAAAAACACCCAAAAAAATTACACGTACGCTCAGCATATTTGTAGAGCATGGTATAATGGCTCATATACCATGATGGCTAAGCCAGTGAAAACTCTTGAACTACATTATCCAATGATCCAGTTTTTAGTAATTCGAGAGTCGAACCTGTATATAATGGCCCTGTATTAAGCGGCCACCTTCTGTTAAGCGGTCAGTTTTCAAAGTCCCAATTTTTCGCTCATACAAACACTGTAATTGTTACCTGTATTAAGCGGCCACCTCTATTAAGCAGCCGCAGCCACTCTGTAGCAGTCCCATGTTTGTCTTCCTTTGTTTATTTTTACCAGCATTAAGCGGGCACCCTTAACCAGAAACTAAGCCACAGGTCATTGTATGTGGTATTTTATTGTGTTTAAAATGCGCTCCGTCATCACTGTAAAGAAATGACATGTACAAAGCTGTATGTAAGCTGACTGGCTGTTTAGTATCATTAACGCTTTCCAGATGTCCGCAAGGTACTGAAGTACAGTATCACATCACGAACCATGCCCAGTGAGTATTTTTAGTGATTCTGTATTAAGAATGGGTGGCCGTTATATACAGGTTCGACTGTATACGAGAACAGACATATGAGCTGTGATATTTCCAAGTTACAGATTTGTCAATTACGACTCCTAGGTGTTTTATACATTCCTTTTTTTCCATCAAGTGGGAGGCACGGTCACTATTTCTTATGTTAAGTTTCATTGGTTTATCTTATTTTCCCGCGGATTTGATTATCATGAAGTTTGTTTTACTCATATTGATTGGCAACTTGTTATTATCGCACCATTTTCTACTTTGTCTAGTTCACAGTTCATGAAGTACTTGAGTATAAACATTAGAGTGCCTTCATTTGTATGATTGTTATTTTGGCTTTCAGTTGGAAGCTCTGATGTCCAAAGCAAAACATTCGTCATCAGATGCTGATAGGTAAAGTACTTAAGCATCAATTAGTATAGGCAATCCTATGAATGTGAGTGCAATGAAGGATTTACACTGCGAGTGATATTTGAAAATTCTCTCAAAATTACATGAGCCTTTAAGCGAGTGCAATATGAAGGAATTTTCGAATGTCACAAGTAGTGTGAATTCTTAATTGCTGGATGTTTCATATGACTACTCATTAATTTTATGACTGAGAAAAGTGGCCTGCTCTCAGCCAATCACAATGAAGTAACTTTCTAAGTTATATAACAAACATGGTTACACATGCTATCGTAACTGGTCCTTCTCAGCCATTTGTGGGTCATCATGTAACGCTTCTGCCGTCTTTCGGAACTCTTACTAGAGACTAACGTTACTTGATGAACCAAATAATGGTGCAAAGACTTATGCTACCAAGCCCTGTGAGAGAAGGTATGCTTGAAACACACAACTAGAGCAACAATTTGATATTTATGGTAAACAATTTTTTTTTCCATTTTTATCCTCGTTCTTTTAAAGGAAATAGTAAAAATCTTCCTGCGTTTCTAATCAGGGTGAACGTGTCAGGTGAAATACACACCTGAGGTCCAAGTCCCCAAAGCAATTTCTGTTCCCGTGAAATTCCACCTGTGATCTTATAGCTCAAAAGAAATGCAGAAATGGTTTCCCATTTCCCAATTGGCACAATAACAGGAATTTTTGATCAACAGGCTGAGGATTACATGTAAAGTTGAAGTGATACTTCAGAGCAAACATTGTACATATAAGTTTATGAGAAGTTGATCCACAATCAGGTTTAGGTGGATTTCAGACGTCATGGTCTGTACAAATATTCTCATCCGTTATCTCACATATTTCATCGCATTCTACCATTCGTGACATTTTAAACCATTTTTACTGTTAGAAACTGTCAAAACATACTTATGCTAATTTTGTATTTTTCACTCACACTTGAAAATGACAACGGAGAGGTTGAAACGTTGTGACTTTTTGTCCTTAGTTTTTGCATGATTTTATTTTTAAGAAATTACTCATTAAGATATCTAAATTTGTAGCAAAAAAGAACACAGACAAACACGGCAGCGAAGTAGAAGCAGAAGCAAAGAAAGAGGAAGGTAGGAGAAGTAAACTCTTTTTCTTTATCCAACTTACACATATTTAATTGTAAATATGCCGCATTTGACTTAAGCAACTAAAGAATAGCTTTTAAACTGGCGAGATGTTGGACAAAGCATTGCAAAGTGTACAAATGTAGCATACCGTGGAAAGAACAAACTCCCTTTACATCATGTAAGGGAAATTACTGCAGCGGTAACAGCTTGTAGAACTTTCCATTACTGCTGCAACTTTTCTCACTGCTTGATTACAGTTACTTGATACGTTTGTTACCTGGTGCAACTGTGTTTCAAAGCATTACATCTCTTGCAGTATTTGGTCAATTATATGACATGCTTGTGGACTAGTGCAGAAGTAACGACAGCAGTGCAAGCTGTCTTGCAGTGATTAGTCAGTTGTGACATACTATATTTGTTGCTTGTTGCAGCAGTGACTCACACAATTTCAAACACCGTTCAAGCTTGTAACATGTGTTAGGGCCTTTTGTGAAGAGGCAGTTGCCCAGCATTATTTTCCGTTGCTGTAACCCAAATGCCAAAATATCGGGCACAACTTTTTAAGGCTGCCAAGAACTTGCACTTGTCGAATTTGAGCATGATAGCAAGCTTAAACTGTAGTGCATGCACTTGTTACAGAAGACGACCAAGATCACGATCACAAAGCCCAAAAGGAGACCGAGTCAGAAGGCAACGAAGCATGGATAGAAATAGAGAAAGCGATAGTTATAGGAGACAAGAAAGAAGAAGGTACGCGTAGAAGCTTACAGTTTTGAATTTGAGACAACAATTACTATTGACTCACTAGAACACTGTACTGTGTAGGGTTATAAATGTTGCAGTTATTAACTTAGTCTTTCATAGTTCTCTGTTAATAATCTCGCTGCTGTGGTAAAATCAAGGAACTGCATGGCTGAGTTCAGTGTCTCTAGAAAAGTTTCTTTCTACCTTTTGTAACAATGTCAATCTTTACTGTTAAAATGTAGCACCGAAGAAGGCTTTTGCTTACCAATACTTTAACCTATTCACCCAATTCTATGTTCAATTCACAATCTTGGTACCTGCAAGAGTAGCCGGCTTCAAAGATGAACTTCATCGCGTGTTATATATATGACTCATTCATGTACCTCATGTGTCAGTCCATGACTTTAATAGGAACATAATTACAAAACTAACTTATTAAAGACCCGTACAGAAAGGAGTGGTTAGAGAGATAAATTAAATTAAAAGCCTTGAGAGATACGCAAAGGATTCTGATTAAAACAGCAAATCGAGATTTTTTTCTAATTCTATATGTTTATGATATATATTTAAATACATTTACTTATATTGCTCAAATTAGGACTGCTGCCGCTGCTTCGCTCGCTTCAGGCTAGCTCACTGCGGCAGCAATTAAATTAGCTGAAGCTACATACAGGTATATATTATTTGTGCAATAGGAAAAGCAGAAGCAGGTCTAGAAGCAGAGAAAGAGGTCGTCCAAGAGACAGACATGGTACTAGCCGAGTGGAAAAAGCTCCACCTGCCACTCCAGTTGTTAACCAGGTAATCGTGTTGGGCTTTTCAAGCTCTCGGTTTGTTTGTTTTTGAGTTTGGGTGGGTGGGTGAGTGAGTGAGTGCGTGCGTGCGTGTGTGCGTGCGTGAGTGTGTGCGTGCGTGAGTGATTGAGTGAGTGAGTGAGTGAGTGATGTATGTATATATGTATGTATGTATGTATGTATGTATGTATGTATGTATGTATGTATGTATGTATGTATGTATGTATGTATGTATGTATGTATGTAT